CCACTAATGTCCACGGGCAGCAGCCCCACTAACATCCACGAGGCAGCAGCCCCTGCCAATGTCCATGGGGAAGCCCCACTAATGTCCACGGGCAGCAGCCCCCGCCAACATCCATGGGGCAGCCCCGCTAATGACCATGGGGCAGCCCCACTAACATCCACGAGGCAGCAGCCCCTGCCAATGTCCATGGGGAAGCCCCACTAATGTCCACGGGCAGCAGCCCCCGCCAACATCCATGGGGCAGCCCCGCTAATGACCATGGGGCAGCCCCACTGACATCCACGAGGCAGTAGCCCCTGCTAACGTCCATGGGGCAGCCCCACTAACGTCCACGGGGCAGCAGTCCCCGCCAACGTCTACGGGGCAGCCCTGTGAACGTCCATGGGAACAGACGGGAGCTGGCTCACCGCTCGCTGGCACCTCGTGGGCCTGGATGGTGGGTCCTGGTAGAACCATGAGGATGCCCAGGTGAAGGGTGTAGAAGGCAGAGCCTCCGCCCCCCCCCACCCTCCGGTCTCTGCTCAGAGTTGCCCACACGGCCTTCCCTGAGCCCAGACAGGCACCGCGACACCCACGAAGTCCGTGTGTGGTCTCATCCTGCTTTTCAAGCGACTGGCCCACTGCTCACTGAGGTCAGCCTCCACGTGAGCACCACGTCTGCCCGAAGAGGGGCGGTCATCACCACCAACTCTGAATGCCCCTTTCCTAAACAGGGTGGGCCTCATCTGCAGGTGGCTCTCGCCCTCCGCACGTCACTCAGCAATGTGAGAGGCAAGAGGCTGTGAGGAGCTCTCCACCCTAACCAGCGTCAGGCACGTGACGTTAAGTGACGCTGTCACTACTTACGGCATATCAAAGCCCTAGAGTGAAGTTCGCCAGAGCTTATTCTCAGCAACGATGGCGGGGAATTCCTGCTAGCACCCTTGCATCTCATTCTGGGGCTAATGCCTCCTCCTCGCTGAATTCACCAGCTCAGGTTAAAACATTGAGAGTGTCAATGTCAGCCTTTCCTTAACATTTAAGTCAACACTATTGAAGGTGGAAAATGCAGTTTGACTCTTCTTAAGCTTTTCTAATAAACTAATGTTGACCAAAGAAATTTCGGTTTCTTTAGTCTCCCACCACAGGCTAGAAAAGAGAATTGTATGGCCCTGAAACAAAAGATGAAATTAAAGGCTTTTTCTACTTAGAGATTTTTTTGCTGTATGGCAGATTTTTAAAAACCGCTTTCCACAAGAGCGAGGGCTTTGAGTACCTCGTTTCTGGATGAAGACCCTGAGCAGGGGACTGGCGCTGGAGACCGCCTTGCAGAAGTTGTCATCGTTGTTGATGGGCAGCAGGTCACCGTGGACGTCCGCGTAGCCGATGGTCACGTCGGTGTTGGTGAGGCGGTGGGTGTGCACCACCAGCTTGTAGAAGTCCTCGAACTTCCCAGGCTTGTGACGGTCCAACGAGAACCGTCGGAACTCGGCCCCAAACTGCAACGCAAGAGGTGGGGGTGAAATAAACACCAGGAGAAACGCCAGAGGGGTGCAGGTGTCCTCTTAGCGCAAAAGTCTGCTGAGCCCCTGCGAAGCCCCAGGGCGAGCGTCCGTGTCCTCCCAGAGCTTCCGCAGAGCAGTGGAGTCATCGGGCGGGGAGGGAGGCCATCAAGGAGCGGAGCAGGTGTGAGAGTGAACAGCTCCGCGAGCAGCAGCCCGGGCTTCATGAAGCGGTCCAGGGCCTTTGCTCCTCGACCGAAAAAGAATTATATTGGCTCCAAAATATACAAAATTAAATGTCTAATATTTACCAAAAGACTAGTCATCATACCATCTAGACACTGTGTCAGCTAGCCATGGACAAGTCCCCTCAAACCGTGGGTTTGTGTCAGAGCCATCTGGAGGTGCTGGTTCTGCATCTGTCTGCTCCGGGAGGCCCAAGAATTCACAACCTTAAACAAGCTCCCAGAAGAAGCTGGTCTAGGGACCACCAGAGAACCACTGGTTAGGTCATCAACGCCACCTCTCAACCGCAGGAACCCTTCTGCAGGAAGACTACCTGAGGACCAGCCTTCAAGTCCTCCCAGCTATCAGGAGCACAGCAAAGCCCCCACCCTGCACTGCCCCAGGGGCAATGAGGCCACTTAGACTAGCGCACGGGTTTGCGCAAAGCCACCTTCAGTGACCCCAACCTGCCTTCCAGGCCTAGAACGGCTGTCTGTCCAGTCACAGGTTCTGAATGAAGCCGTGTGGAGGGCAGGGGATATTCCCCACCCCGGCCAGTCAGAGCTGCAGGGCAGCCCTGGAGACCCTCCCTCACCATTCAGAGGATTGTGTTCGGTGTCCTTGGCATTTACCAAGGGCACACCACCGGCCAGCAGCATGGCTGTGCCCGCACGGGGTGGCGGGGTGGACTGTATGCATTCTGTTTCCGATTTAGTTACTCAGCCAAGCCACAGCGTTCATCTCCTGGCGGCTCTTATCCCTCCTGTCCCATATAGCCAACAGGGGTTGACTTCAGCAATTTCCCCTCACCCCCAGGTTTATGCTATAGGGCGTGTGCTCCCACCGGAGAGACAGAGACAGAAAGTCAGAAATCAACCCCCCAGGGGGATGGCCACACTACAATCCCTTCTCTTCCATTCTCCTCTTGGGGTTTTAAGCACGCAGGTACATGCGCCCCGTGTGAGTTTTAAGCCGCTGGGTCAACTACATGGGAGTCCAGTGACATAACCATTACGCCACCTGCTGGTCCCCAAAACAATTTGTTTTACTTATGTATCTTTCTTTTCACCCAGCACAGAAGCGTCTAACAGACTGTGAGGGTGTTCTGATTTTTGCATATAATTCTTACTTGGGCATGCCCCCAATAGGGCAGGTGCACTTAGTACCCTGCAGGAGGCCAGGCCTCCATCGTTCCCACTGCCTGTGGGACTTGTCAAGTCACTTCCGTGTAAAAGTCGAGAAGACTGGGATTAGCAGTGGCATGATGGTTAAGGTGCTGGATTCCCACATGGCTGACCATGGTTCAAGTCCTGGACTTGGAGACCTGGTTTCTCACCTTCTCTCTCTCTCTCTCTCTGTTTCTCTGGCCAAATTAAAATAAATGAATGAATAAAATGAACTCTTTAAAAAACTCTTTTAAGGGAACCAGCAGTTAGCGTAATGGCTATGTCGCTGGACTCCCACGTAGTCGACCGCGGTTCGTGTCCCGGACCCGGTGGCTTAAAACTCACGCCGGGCGCGTGTGCGTGTGTGCCCAAGATCCCGAGAGGAGAATGGAGGAGAAGGGATTGCGGCGTGACCATCCCCCCTGGGGGGTGATTTCTCGCTTTCTGTCTCTATGTCTCTCTCTGTCTGTCTGGCGAGCGCACGCGCCCTACAGTGAAAATCTCTCAAAAAAACAAAAAAAAACTCTTTTAAAACATTATTTAAAGAAAAAAACAGAGAATGAGTCCTTCTCTAATGTTTCAATTCTAACTGCATCTGGCAACTAATCTAATACGTAGCTTAATGGACCTGCCAGAATTTCACTTTGAATAATTAGAAACAAGAAGAAAAGGAAGCCCAGCCTGGAGGCCCACAGTTGGAACCACAGCTCTGGAGTGAGTATGGGGAGCCCAGGGCAGCAGGGAGGGCCAGGCTCAGTTCCCAGGCAGCCTGCCCATGAAGGGATTGAGTGCCTGCCGGTAACCCTGGCTGGGGAAGGCTGGGCAGGAGGGTAGCTACAAAGTGAGACCCAGTCAAAAATACCTATCTTGGGAACCAGCAGTTAACGTAATGGGTATGTTGCTGGACTCCCACGTAGTCGACCGTGGTTCGCGTCCCGGACCTGGTGGCTTAAAACTCATGCAGGGTGCATGTGCGTGCATGCCCAAGATCCCAAGAGGAGAATGGAGGAGAAGGGATTGCGGCGTGACCATCCCCCCTGGGGGGGTGATTTCTCGCTCTCTGTCTCTCTGTCTCTCTCTGTCTGTCTGGCGAGCGCACGCGCCCTATGGTGAAAACCTCTCCAAAAAAAAAACCTATCTCTGGGGGCTGGAGTGTGGAGTGCTCGTAAAGGCACTGGACTCCCACATAGCCGACCACAGTTTGAGTCCCAGATCTGGTGGCTTGCCTTCTCACTTTCTCTCTCTCTCTGGTCACATTAAAAAATAATAATAAATAAAATAAAATAAAATAGTATTTTAAAAAAATCTATCTCTGTCTGTCTCTGTCCCTCTTACACATGAATGCAGACCTTTTTCCTGAGGTAAAAGTCTGATCTGTGTTTGATGAGTCTCTGCTTTTGGTAACCCAGTAACATGGCAGACATGCTTATGTTGAATGAGCTCCGAGTTATGATAAGAAATGTGAAATGTGATGCGATTTGCATTTTTTAATAATCATGGGCCAGCAGATGGCATAACAGTTACATCCTGGACTCCCACATGGCTGACCACAGTTCGAGCCCTGGACCTGGAGCATGCATGCCCAGGATCCCAGGAGAACAGAGAAGGGACTGCGACGTGGCCATCCCCCGTGGAGGGTTGATGATTTCTTACCTTCTCTCTTTCACTGTCCTGTCTCTTCCCCTCCCCCAAGCACATGTGCCCTAAGACAAAAATTTCTTAAGAAGGAAAGAAAGAAAGAAAAATTGTACTGGCATGAGATATTAAACTGGCACTTCTGCCTCCTCTTTACACCGGACTGAGCAAGTTGCCTCAGGTGAAGGAGCTAGCAGTGTGCTCACCAGACACTGAAAAGCCGACGGCAGGGCCCGGTGATACACCTGTAAGTCAAGTACGTTCCGATTCTCTGCCTTCAACAAAACTGAAATCAGAATCATTTTAATGCAGGCCAAGAGGCCACGCTGGGACTGCTGTGACCGCCCCGTGTGCAGGCGCCGGGCTGGCCAGGGCGCTGCTGGCTCTTGTCGACTGGTCTGTGTGCTTGGCCCTGCAGCTCGCAAACACTTAGCTACGAAGGGCTTCCAGGCGGGGGGGTGCCAGAATCCCAGGAGGAAGGACGGCCACCCGCCGTGCAGGGTGGTCTCTCACTTTCCTTCTCTTTCTCTGCATTGCTCTCTGGAGAGTGTATGTGCCCTCCGGCAAAAAAAAAGTTTCCTTTGGATAACTAATTATTTATAAAATTTCGCATTATGTTTCAATTGTGACTTGACAGTAGTTTTAATGACTCAATCTAGGTTTTTTTTTTTTGCTATAGGGTGTATGTGCTTACCAGAGAGAGAGAGGCAGAGACAGAAGAGACAGAGGGAAAAGTGGGAAATGACTCCACTGGGGGATGGCCATGCTGCAGTCTCCTCTGGGGATTTAAGGCATACACATGCGATCTTCAAGACACTGTGTCTGGGACTTGAACCACTACATCAGCCAAATGGAATGTGGGACCTTAACCTCCACGCCACCTGCTGGCTCTCAATCTAGAAATGTTTTTACAGAAAAATTCTATTTACTTATCTATAATCACAGCGAAACACACAAACACAATCTGCTGTCTTAACCAACCAAGGTGCTCACACTTCGGTGCGAGCTCCAGGAGCACAAACCGCACCCTGTGCCATGCGCCCGGCCTCTGGAAGTCTCTGTCCTCACTCAGTATACACCCAGTGTCCGCACTCTACGGCAGACACGCAGAGCCACGGGGCATATGCGGAAAGGCATGGAGAGCAGCTCTGGCTACTAGAGACTGTGGGAGGAGGAAGGGACTGGGGGAGTTAGAGAGAGAGAATAAGGGGGAAAGAAAAAGCAAAACATTTAAAGGACACACGTGGAAAGTGATCTGTTGACTGTACAGCAATATCTGTGATTGACTACAGGGTATTTATCCTGGGCGAATTCATTTTGTAGCTGTAATGATACGCAGTGATTGAATGAAAAAACACATGGAAAACAAAACCCTTGGGGCCAGCAGGCGGTGTGGGTTAGGGCACACGCTCCCACGTGGCCACCTGCAGTCTGAGTCCGGGCAGCTTGCCTTCTCATTTCCCTGCTCTCTCTCTCTCTCTCTGGTCAAATTAAAAAAAATAATAATGATAATGAATAAATTTAAATAATTCTTTTAAGCAAACCCCCAAATAAAAGAAAACTAGTCTTTTTATCTTGCAAACTGAAACCCTACACTATAAATAACAGCTTAGAAATATGTATTTTTCTTTTTCTTTTTGGAGAGTTTTTTTTTGGCTATAGGGCACATGCACTTGCCAGACAGAGAGAGACAGGGAGACAGAAAGGGAGAAATCACCCCCCGGGGGGATGGCCACGCCACAATCCCTTCTCCTCCATTCTCCTCTTCGGATCTTGGGCACACACACACATGCGCCTGGGGTGAGTTTTAAGCCACCGGGCCCGGGGCGTGAACTTCGGTTGACTACATGGGAGTCCAGCGACATAGCCATTACGCTAACTGCTGGTCTCCTAACAGCTTAGAAATAGTTTTAACAAACAGCCTTTCAGCCAAAAGAAAAACTTTAAAAAAATTAATCAATTAATTTTAAT